ATGTTGAGAATATAAATTCTTGTTATAGGAAACTACATTTTTTACAATGTTGGCCCCAGAGAATTGTCTTTGTTCACATAAAACTGTAAACCACGTTTGTCATAGTTTGCATTTGCTCACTAAGTTTACAATAGTCAAACACCCTCTGACCTCTCCCAGCTCCAGTCTTGTTACAGTTACCTCAACCAGACTGGTTGACTTCTTTTGAAGAATGAAAAAATATATTTAAGACTTTCCTTCTTGGAGAATTTATTTTTGCAATTAAACAACTGATTCAAACATCATTTTGAAGGTACAAAGCCAAATCTTATTCCATTGCACATGAGTCATCAGGAACCTAATTTAATGCAAAAGTTATAAATGGAATATCACACGATGGCAATTAACAGCTTGCTTTCCCCTTTACAACAATAAGATTTAAACATAAAAATGAAAATAAAACAAAAAGAAATACTAAGGAAAGCATGAGGTTTAAAAAGAAAATCTTTTTGAGTAGTAAAGGTCTGACTAAAACTATAAAAGAAAAGATTGGTGAATTCAACTATATATGAATGAAAACTCTAAATTGTCTAAAGAAATAATCAACACAAAGTACAAATGATAATCTATGAAACATATACAATACAAATTACAAAGGGTTAATTTCATAAAACATATAAAGAGTACAAAAAAGTCAGTAAGAAGAGTGAGCAAAGGTTATAAACACATAACAGAAGGAGTACAAACAAAAATACAAATTAATTTTTAATAGAAAGAAAAACTATAATGAGATACTAATTTTTATTTATCAGATGAGAAGAAAATTTTATGTTTGATAATAAGAGGAATCAGGCACTCATACATTGAGTTGGGAATTTCACTTGGTATAATCCATATGAAAGCCACTGAGGAATGTCAAAATTTTAAATACACATAATTGTCATTCCTATATTTTCTTCTAGAATCAGTACTTGATATATTCAAATAATATACAAAGAAGTGTATGTAAACAATTCATTATAGCACTACCTGTAATAACACAAATCTGGAAACAACCTAAATTCCCACCAGTAGAGATTGCTTAAACAAATCACAGAGTATTTCCAGAATGGAATGTCAAACACAACTCTGAAATAATATCCAAGACATCTTGTTATATGGATAAGGCAAGGTATAAAACTACGTGTGAAATATTATTATGGATCTGTTTTTAGATTATATACACAGATGAGAATATGCACACATGCTCTCATAGGAAACAAAAAACTGATAACAGTGATAGGGCTGAGAGGAGGGAGACCTACGACTTTTGAATTTTGTACCAAGTGCACATATTGTTGTTGTTTAGTTGCTAAGTCACATCGCTGACTTCGCTGACTTTTGAAATCCCATGGGCTACAGCCCACCAGGCTCCTCTGTCCGTGGGATTGCCCAGGCAAGAATACTTGAGTGGGTTGCCATTCCCTTCTCCAGGGGATCTTCCCAATCCAGGAGACCCAAACCCGGAGACGGATTCTTTCCCACGTGCGCCATCAGGGAAGCTGATGCGCTGTGCTATGCTGTGTTTAGTCGCTCAGTCTTTTTTTGTTGTTGTTGTTGGAGGCTAATTACTTTACAACATTGCAGTGGTTTTTGTCATACATTAAAATGAATTAGCCATGGATTTACATGTACGACCCTTTGCAACCCCATGGATGGCAGCCTGTCAGGCTCCTCTGTCCATAGGGATTCTCCAGGCAAGAATACTGGAGTGGGTTGCCATCCCTCCACCAACGGATCTTCCAAGCTCAGGGATTGAACCCAGGTCTCCCACGTTGCAGGCAAATTCTTTACTGACTGAGCCCCCTGGGAAGTCCAAGAATACTGGAGTGAGTAGCCTGTCCCTTCTGCAGAGATCTTCCCAACCCAGGAATTGCACCAGGGTCTCCTGCATTGCAGATGGATTCTTTACCAGCTGAGCTACCAGAGAAGACCAGGGAAGCTGATCTCTACATTCAAATTCTGATCTTCTGAGTTTTGCCTATGTGAAAGTTAGCCATGGGCAAGTTACTTAACCTTTCCATGTATCAGCTTCCTCATTAGGAAAATGGAAATAGTACCAGTACATACCTCATAGGATTGTTGCAAGAATCTGACAGGTTCTCCAGTGAGTGCCTGTTATACACTATGGGCTCAATAAATGTTAGCCACTCTCGCTATTACTAGCAACAGCAGTGTGTTTTATATAAACATTATTATTACAGTTTACACAAAACTACTCAGAAAATACCACTGGTTGTCCATTGCACATACTATAGTATATTATAGCAAATTTTCATCTCCAGATCAATTTAGAAGTACATTGATGGATAACAGGGGTACTAAGGAGTTGGAAATAAAGGCTGATGTCCTGGATGGTTTTAAAAAACAGATACAGAAGACAGAATGTAAAAGATGCTCTCCTACTTACTTTTGGCTTCCTTCGTAGCTCAGATGGTAAAGAATATGCCTGCAATGAGGGAGACCCAGGTTCAATCCCTGAGCTTGGAAGATCTTTTTCACTTAAACTTAAACAGAGCAGCCTGGATGGCTCCTGTTCAAAGGGTCGTAAAGAGTTGAACAGGACTGAGTGACTAGCACAGATATAGAAGACAGTGTAAAAGACACTCTCCTACTTACTTTAACCCCATGGTCAGTGAAATTTCCTCTCTCCAAGGTAGATGACACAGTGGGAACGGGTAGAAATATGCAACCATTGACCAGCTCAATCCCACATCCTTCCTCAGGCCTCTTTTCACAATCTGATTACTGGAAATTCTTCTCGGTATAGGCTAGATCTTTGGCCATTATGTTTGGGGTTTAGTGCCACTATAACTTCGTATTTCCTCTATTATCTTTATTAATATTTTACAGGGGAGTTTGGGGACTGTTTCTCCCTGCCTCCTTGTTAAGAGGATATATAGGGGAACAGCAGTTATAACTTGATGTTTTCCACTAACAAACTAGTGAAAGTGTTAGTTGCTCAGTTGTGTCCAACTCTTTGCGACCCATGGACTGTAGCTCGCCAGGCTCCTCTGTCCATGGGATTTCCCAGGCAAGAATACTGGAGTGGGTTGCCATTTCCTTCTCCAGGGGATCTTCCTGACCCAGGGATCAAACCTGGGTCTCCCAAATTGCAGGCAGATTCTTTACCATCTGAGCCACCAGGGAAGCCCCCGTTAAACTAGCCTCCTAGGAAATAAATCACTACCCAACATTTCCTCCCACATGCTATGCTGACATCTGCCAACACAGAGGTTCGGTGTTCTCAACATTTGACAACATGGAGCAAACAGATTGAAACAGAAAATTAAGGTCTTGCAAAGTGAAAAAAGGAAAGAAAGTCACCTCAAAGAGAATATAAAATATGAAACAAGCCTGTTGGGGAAAGTGCTAAAGCCCTTGAAAATGTTTGCCCAAGAAAAGGACTCTGTATGATTGTATTAAGAAAAAAAAATTAAAAACATGAAGACAAATAAGTCATTTCCTAACAACATATCATTTATCAGAGAATGTATGCCAAAATACCAATACATGATCTATTTCTTGTTTTAAATCAATGCATAGTTATGAGCTAAATTTTGTAATGTGAAATAAGTTTTAATGATTTTCTTTTTCAAGCTTACACCCTAATTAAATCTTTTTTCATTATTTATCTTAAAATTTTTATCACTATTTAAAATGGACTCCTCTTAGAAGTATTCTTTTTCTAGGACCCATTTTGTACTGATTGTGGTGATATAAGAGCATAACAAAAGTGGAGTCTAAGGACTTTTAAACTTAAACTGTTAAGTCCCTTTCCCTTGTTCTCATTTGAGAATCTCACACGAAATGAAAGTCTTGCCTATTTTTCCAAACCTCAAAAAACATTGCACTTAGAAAATTAGGTACAATGTGTTCAACTTTTGAACAATGTGTTCACTTTTAAATTATAAGGATGGCCTCAAAGCCATAATATTTGGAAGAAACACTAGACCAAACGTTGTAAAGCTACTTTCCACTCAAGTGATTGTTACTATATATAGCTCAATTATACATATCTGAAATGTATATGTTTAGAAAACTCAACATAGATTACAGGATTAGGGTTCACTAGAGCTTTCTGACTGGATCTAAGCCTATAGCAGAAATAAAGTTTCTTTTTTCGCTACACACTATCTCCATTAACCCAAAAAAAGAAACTAAACAAATCCAGACTAGTTGCTTTGATTAAAACCATAAATTCAGAGTATGCTTTGCAGACTAGCTCTGTTAGGCTAACTATACTTCTGGGGGCCAGATATCACACCACCCGTCTCTGATTCAGGTCTTTCCTTGTGGTTGACAAAGAAAAAGGTTCAACATGGAAACAAAAATGGGCTCAACCTTTAAGTCCTGAAGAAAAGCAGGGCAAGTTTGTTCTTAAGAGCAAGTCACTTTTTAGATCTGAAAACAACCAGACTCCACCGTTTCTGGCCTAGTTCACTCTTCTCAGATTTCACCGACTAGAATCAAATGTCTTTGCCAAAAACACCTTCTTCAAGATTTAATACCAATTAAACTAAAGCAGCATAGCAGAGAAGGATCTGAGATCAGTTCCAATGTTATTGTCTAAAAACTCTTGATTAATATGGTAGAGGGTCATGAGTGAGACTAGAATGAAGAATCTAAGACAAACATGCTCGACCAGGAGTCAAGGGGTACAATTGGAGGGGTTTGTGATCATGCGTGGAAGACAAAAATTACATCTTTTCTTTTTCACTAGACTCTAACTTGACATTTCCCTCAAGTGCAAATACAGGCAACACATCACAGTAATATTAGCTGCATCTGTAACTGTGTTACCAATAGAAATCACAAATATTTTTATATCACATTATAGTTACTACAGAGATCTAAAAATATCACTTATACTGTTTCACTACTTCAAAACTATGCTAGTAGCCAACTTGTGGCTAGAATTGCATGTGATTACTATCTTCCTGCTCACAGATGCTCAGCATGAAACACGGACAACCACTCACCAACTCTGCAGTTCGTAGTCATCCGGCCTCCATATTTTCCAAATGTTTTCCCACGAAAGCCACATGGCCTCACACAGACCCGGATCCATGCTGCTTTTCAGCGTTTCCTATCTATAATGAGTGGCCAGTCATTGAAAGAGATGAATCAGATACTACACCAGAGTTTAATGTTCTCATTCAAGCTAAGCAACAAAAGTTTCTATACTTTAGTAATACTGTGTTTAATAAATAAAATTATCTTTAACTTAGCTTTTTAAATGCAGTGTCTTGCAATTTCATGTGTTAATAAAATACACATATCATATATGTCTATGCCATGAATTTAATACTTTGATAGCCATATGTAAAATATAACATTCTCTTTGTAATTCAGTGTATTTCATTTTATTCATTTAAGTTCTACCAGATGGCCGAGGAGCCCACTGGCTTCAAAAAGGTCAAGAGATGATGATTAACAGATAAGGCCAAATCAGCTTTCTCAAGGAAATTTGGTTCAACCAATATAGCCAACTCATATCATATATCCCCAAAATGCTATTTTTTCATTGAAATTTTATATAATCATCCTCTCCTATACCTCAAGTACCAGCACTAAACTTTTAAATCTGGTAGGTAATTGCTAATAAGTTTTCTCTTAGCTATCACTGCAAGCACTATGGACTAGGATTCTCTTAGAATCCTAGAGAGTATTTCATTTAAATACCCTTCTCCCAGGTGATGCTAGTGGTAAAGAAGTCACCTGCCGATTCAGGAGATGCAGGAGACATGGGTCTGATCCTGGTGTTGGAAAGATCCCTTGGAAGAGGAAATGTCAAATCACGCCAGTATTCTCACCTGGAAAATCCCATGGACAGGGGAACGTGGATGGCTACAGTCCATGACGTCACAAAGAGTCAGACACAACTAAGCATACACCCACACACTCTAACCACTACCCAATATATTATACAGAAGTGCAGACACCAAATTATTCTATCAATAAAGAAAACCATGAAACCCTTACTCATCCATCCTTAGTCATGCTCAATACCAGACAGCTTCATTCAATGCAGCCCAAACTATTAGGTCTCATGTTAAATCATAGTTCCTAAAAGAGAGGACTCTTGTCTGGAAAATCCCATGGACGGAGGAGCCTGGTGGGCTACGCTCCATGGGGCCGCAGAGTCGGACACTACTGAGCGACTTCATTTTCACTTTCACTTTCAAAAGAGATAATAAACAGCAGGAAGAATTTTGAGGCTCAATTTAGAATGGAATGATCCAAAGAAGAATTTATTGGCATTCTGTTTACAGGACTGTTTTTCTATGTAATGTCATTTACTGACTTTTCCCCACAATGCAATGCACACCTTCCTTTTTACTCAGTAAAAGCCTTTCACTTGTTGGCCAATGATAAATGCTCCTGAACTCTTGTCATGCCTCTTCCTGCCCCACCTGTCAATAACCCTAACCCTAACCCTAACCCTAACTGTCTTAGAAAGTCTTCAATTTCCTTTGATACATTCACAATTTTTTTCTTCACTTCTTTTTTGTGACTCTTCATCTAATCAGTAACCTCTTTAAATCATACTGTATAAGCTATTTACTCTACTACCTATGTTAGCTGCATAAAATGTGCCTCAGAGGATGTGCAGCCAGGGAAAAACACAAAACAAAACTTCTTTTGCAAAACGCTGTTAGGAGTGCTATGCAGCTGCTGCTGTTTATTTGCTAAGTCCTGTCTGACTCTTTGCAACCCCATGGACTATCACCTGCCAGGCTCCTCTGTCCATGGGATCTCCAAGGCAAGAATGCCAGAGTAGGCTGCCATTCCCTTATCCACGGGATTTTCCTGACCCAGGGACCAAACCAGGTCTCCCATGTCTCCTGCCCTGCAAGCAGATTCTTCACCACTGCCCCACCTGGGACGCCTGATGAGTGCTATGCTGCAGGATTAGTTAAAGTCCTCTAGAAATACAGAGAATGTAGAGATTGGCTCTGTTTGGGTAGGTCAGATTTGGTTCACAGGGACGGCAGTCTCAGAAAATGGCTCTAAAAAACAGAACACACACTATAATCAGTGATATAATAGGATAAACATTTTCTGTGCTAAAAAGACACATCTAAGGTTGAAAGGTCTCTGAAATCAGAAAGAGAGAGAAAGGTAGTTCTACATAAAAATAAAACTCAAGCTAGACAAATTACAGTTGAACCAAGAAGACAAAATTTAATGTTAATTTTGACTCACTCCTGAAACCTCACTAAAATGGGCTTAAAGGAGCTTAAGATTAACAACTCACAGGTATAGAGACTAGCAGAGAACATGAAAGCAACACAGGTTTGGAAACATGAAAGCTGACGGACAAGTGGAACTGACAAGCAGACCAGAGAAAGCTGAATCCAAACTGAAGCCCAGAACTAAAGCTGATTTGTGCTGCAGAATCCAAGAGAGTCTCAGAAATTGGACTCCTCAAGTATCCCAGAAACTGAATGGGGGAGCTAAATAGGGGGGAACTCATTGAAAAATCTGAACAAGACGCAGTAGGATTCCTGGGCCACCAATTCACTCTACAAGTTGAAGTCTCTTCTTCTACAGCCTTGGCGGAAGTTTGAAGGCTCTCTTCTATTACACACTTAAATGGACCCTGGACTTGGGAACACCAGGCTCATTGAGAATTGAGGCAAGGTGTGCTATTAAAAGAAGAAAATGAGAAAATATTGGAAAGAACATACCAAATGGTGATATGTGGGAGACTCCATTCTTAACTTCATTCCCAGAATACTAATAGCCACAATTTTACAACATTCAGGCAGTGAGTTAAAGAAATTTGCTCTGGAGAAATTGACCCCCTGGGGAAAAAATCATATATATATATATGTGTGTGTGTGTATATATATATATATATGAATGTATATATCATAATTATGATATATATATACAGGTTTCCCAAAGAAATAGCCCTTTTCTATTACCCAAATATGAAGCATATCATTTAAAACCTATACACACACACACACACACACAGATATAGAACCTCTTAGCTCTTGAATATGATGGGACTACCAAGTTCAATAAACATCTGAGGAAAGACTGCAACACTTAAGGGAAAAACAAAAGCAAACAAAAAGGCCAACAGAGAAACTTGGAGGAAAAGGTTCAATACTGGAAACAGAATAAAACTTCAAAAATAGATTAATATCTTTCATAAGGTAAGATGTAGGTCTTACCTAAAGGAGCTAGGTCTCCGTACTTCCTATCTTTGATCCCCTCCCCGCTCATTCTGATCTGAATTCACTCCAGTTAGCTTTTCATCCCCAACACTCCCTTGGAACTGCCGGTGTCAAGGTCATTATGACACCAGTGTTTGACAAATCCAATGGTCAATTCGCATTCTCATCTTACTTTAACTAATCAGCAAAAGTTGACACAGTCAAACATTTCCTCTTCTTTCAAACATAGTCTTCACTTGGCTTCTAGGTCATCACATGCAACTAGTTTTGCTCTTACCCACTTGATGTTTCTAAATGTGTTGATTCTTCCTCATCTCCCTAATACTTTAAAGTTGCCCAAAGACTCAGTATTTATATTTCCTCTCAATCTATACCAGGTCTTTAGAAGATCCCACCCAATTCAAAGCTTTTTATATATTATTTATGTTAATGAATACCAAATTTATGTCTACAGTATGGACCTCATCCTTGAACTCCAATTTCATGTATTCAACAGTCAACCACACTTTGCTATCTGGTTACTGAATAGACATCTCAAATTTGACATGTTTAGACATATAGTTCTTACTATGACGAAGAAATTCGTATCACATTTATCTTCCCACAATAAACCATTGAAAATTTAACAAAAATAATTTTGTAACATATAAAAATATTAAATCATTATGTTGTACACCCAAAATTAATATGTCAATTATACTTTCATAAAAATTGAACAACAATAAATGAAGAAACTACTTTAGGCTTTAGACAAAACAATACAAGTATTATTCTTGAGAGAAGAAAAATGCATGAGGTGATCTTCATATGTCTCTTACTTTCTACATTTTACAAATAGCAGCACAAAGAATGGATCACAAATAGAAAGGAGAAACGTTAACAAGTAGAAACAGCAAAGTGAAATTTGTGAGCAAAGGTACCAAAGAAGAGAGAGCTATATGGAATAGCCCCACATATCTGCACAGAGATCCCCTTTAGTCTCTGGATGAATACTAAGTTATGCATGGACAGAACAAGACTCCAAGAGGTCTTATAGGGAGCAACTACTTCAGAGCCATGAGATTAATGCGGATCCAAAAGCTCTCACAATACGAGAGACGTTCATATTTTCACAAGTCAAATGAAGAGATTTGATTGAATACCCACAGGTATCTAGTTGCAACCAGAAAGGACACATGTTAAAGGAAGGCTTGTTCCATCACTATATTAAGGACTACTCTAGACTGTCCCAAAGAAAGCTTAAAATCAAGTAGGATCAAGCTGACTGAGTAAAGTTCCTGCTAGCTAAAACAAACTTTAACATTGTTTAAAGAAAGACGTACTGTTAAACACACTCTCATCAGATTTTCAACAACATTGCATCTTAAATGTCTGGCATACAGTTAAAAATTACTAAACTGATGAAGAAGCAGGAAAAATGTATTAAAATCCAAAACTAGGAAGAAAAAGTCAGTAGAAATTCAGAGACTTCACTAATGTTGGAATTAAATAACAAGGACTTTAAAATAACTGGGGCTTCCCAAGCGGCTCAGACAGTAAAGACTCTTCCTGCAATGCAAGAGACACAGGTTTGATCCCTGGGTTGGGAAGATCCCCTGGAGAAGGAAATGGCAACCCATTCTTGACTGGAGAATTCCATGGACAGAGGAGCCTGGCAGGCTACAGTCCATGGGGCCACAAAGGGTCAGACATGACTGAGCAACTAACACTCTTGAAATAACTACAATTTACCTCTGAACAACAGGGATTTGCACTGCATGGGTCAACTTATACACAGGTTTTTTCAATGAATATATAGTCAGCCCTCCACACCAGTAGGTTCTGCATCCACAGACTGAACTAACTGTGCATCATGTATACTATGTTTATAATCTGCAATGGTTCAATCTGTGTATACATAATTTGTAGATTCAGAGGGCTGACTATAGAACTTGAACATCTACAGATTTTGGTATCTACAGTGGGTCTTGGAACCAACAATCCCCTGTGGATATCAAAGGAATACTATATTATAAATATGTTTAAGCATTGAGTGAATAGATGCAGAATCTAAAAACAGAAATAAAAATCAGGGTGGGGTGGGGGGAGGAAAGAATGGACATTCTAGAACTCAAAAAGAAATATCTGAAATACTTAGGTTTAACTATAAACTACACATTGCAGGTAAAAAGATTAGTTTCGGAGACTGGACAAAAGGAACTATATCTAAACCAAAGCTCACAAAAAATAAAATAAGACTGAAAAAAATGAATACAGCTGCAGTGGGCTGTGAAACAATATCAAGTTATCTAACAAATATATAGTTTGAATTCTAGAAGGAGAGGGGAAAGACGTTGGAGTCAAAAAATTTTAAAAATTAAAGAATCAATGGCCACAAATTCTTCAAGAAGCTCAACTAAATCTAGCCAGATAAACCTAAGAAAAACTGGACCTAGGCACATAAGAGTCAAATTGCTGAAAACTAAAAAGTAAGAGAAAATTTGCAAAGGGACCAGAGAAAAAGAGTCCATTACATAGAGATAAGTAAGATGATTGTTCACTTCTCATTAGAAATAGTACAACCAGATAAC